ACAAAGAGAGTTAATGCAAGCCAGATCAAACGCCACTTCATCCAGATGTTTCAGGAGAACTTACAGGAGGCTGTGCAGCATGGCACAGGAAGCAGAGTGGCACCAAACAGCCATCAAGGTGCATGGCATAATCTGATAAAAAGGTGTGAAAATTAACACCTGCTAGAAAAATATGTGTGCAGTCCAAAAGCTGGGCAATAGTTCAATGTTGTGTTTTCATTGGTTTGTTGCCTTCTAGAAACAGGAATATCACGTGTGTAAAGCTGAAGACCTGATGTTTAACGAACTGCACAGATATGTGTCGTTAGCGGTGATTCCACACTTTATCTGGAAGATCCGTGTAGAATGTGTAACAGCTGATTTATTGGACATTAATCAACTCGTTTGTTTTTACCATTAACCATTACTCTAAGAGGTCACCAACATTTGAGATTTGTTTAATAGATCCTCATAGGCCCTTCTCACCCTTATTCTGCAAGTTACTGCTAACCAGCTAACCTCAGCCTTTCCCATTTTATATTTTCCCTGACCAGAATCAGCCCTTAACTGCTTCCCCAAAGAGGATTTCGCCCTATACCGGACATACTCCAGCTCCACCAGCTCTGAAAAGCCATTCTAACCAGAACCTGCAGCAGGTGGAGAACTGGTTCATGTGTCATGCTCACCAAAGCTACAATAGCAGAGGAAGAGTCCATACATGGCTACAAATAAAAGCAAACAAACAAAAAAACAGGTGTGACTTCATATTTAATTTGAGAATGCATGCATGTCTCCTGTTGCAGTGCACATGCACTCAAAACAACCTACCATAAATAACACATCAATCTAAACCGATTGCCACCATAGACAGTACAAAAGATGGCCTTTCAGACCCAAAAGCTACATCAAAGTCAAGGTTCAAGTGCCTTAGACATGCATGCTTTCAGTGCACACCAAGGGGTGATCCCCGGGGTGAGGGGGAGACTAACCAGAACATAAAGTCCATGTTGTGAATTTTGGTCATTTTAAGAGTCAGAAAACTCATTAACCAATGAGTTTTAGTCATATCCATTCCTACTCGTCACATCTAGTTTGAAAACACCAACACGGCAACGGTGAAAGTATCCCAAACCAAAAGCAATGTCTATATTTCATTCTTCGACTGCAGTGTAGATCTATTAACAGATGTTATCCCTGATAACATCTGTTACTTCAAAAGGTTTTGCAGTTACTTCAAAAGGTTTCGGTCTCTTTGGGCAAAGCATGGTTCACTATGCAGACAGAGTAACAGGACACAAGATCCCCAAGGCTGATTCTATTCATTTGACACTGTCTCCTAAGAACATACATTCAAATAAGCATAAATTTGCATCAATCATAATCCACTAGCAGTGATGTCATGCTCACATGACTGTACCACCTTCTAATTGTAAGGGTCTAAAAGAAGGGTCACAAAGCAGAAACGGTTGAGAAATGCACAGCTAACAGAAGAGGACTTGATGTGAAACATCCTACTATTGAGTGAAATGAGTAAACCCATGAGTGGGATTGCACCTGCTTCTCCGTGTTGCTGTTAGCTTTTAAAGAGTGGTCTGCACAAGAAGCACCCTGCTGAACTCTGCAGACAGATCGCTTAGTGTTGGCTGATTCAGCATCAAGCAGTATACACAAAGACCCGTTTCTGTTTGTCTAACCACAGTATTGAAAAAAAGAAGAAGAAAAAGCAAACTCATAAGCATAGCATGAGTCAAAAGGTGAATCCAATTTGAAACACTCATGACTGAACGTGTCAACAGATCACTGTCACGTGTGCTCATCAAATCAGACTTATGATTTCAAAATAAATACATTTTTAAAGAAGGCATTTGGATAAATAAATATAACACGAGGGGCTTTCTGAAAACTCTCCCTGTTTAACAGTTTAAATGTGTTACTGAAAGCCAGAATAAGCCATAAGTACAAAATAAAACAACTGATGAATTGTCCATTTGAGCTTTTGCAGAAGCTGGAGTGAATGTTCCTTGATGTCAGGCTCAAGGGCCCTATTTCCTCCCAATGGGGTTGCAGCAGCGAGGGCAAACAAAGGTTAAAGCAGGGTATCCGTCACCTGACTTGGTTTCTAGGTACAGCACGCCTCAGTTTGGGAACAAAAAGTAGTCGAAGACTAAAGCTATTTCAAAACACTCTTCATTCACTCTCAAATTACAGAGTTTGCCCGAACAAACTGCATGATGGTGTTTTAGTGGGAACAACAACAACAAAAAAAAACCAAGGTTGTGAAGGTTCAAAGTTTGCTCCAAACCACTTCAAAATAATATGAAACTACTAATGGAAGAGAAAACCGTGGGAGATGTGAAATTGTGTTGACTGAGAATCAGTTGAATCATTGCAGCCGTGGGAAAAAGTGGAAGCAGTGTTGAGTAACTGGAAGCCAATCCAGCAAAATTCAGGGTAGAGTACATATAGATATGTCAAATTATAGAAGGGGGTAAAGGTAGCAGGCTGACAGGAACAGATTTGGAGGGGAAACGTATAAACTGGCTGCAGTGATGTAGCAGACTGTCCTATCATCTCCCCAAACTCCTTAAATCCCTTTAAATTTTTACACTTTTTCATGTTGTGTACAAGTCTTTAACACTCTCCTTCACCGCCCACCCTTGGGCAACATCCTTCTGTATGTCTGACTGACTGATCAGGGATTTTCTCAATGTCGCACCTCTTATTTACATATGTATCTCGTGCCCCGACACTGCCAGTAAACGAGGCCGAAAACAGAGCTGCGTCTTGACTGCGCCCTCAGAGTGTCAGAGTGATCTGAAGCTGGCGCTTTGATCCAGGCGCGAATCCGTCCACCCCTGAAGTTGACATGAAATCAGCGCCATTGGTGAGGATTGATGTCAAAGCAGCGCTCACAACACGTTGAAAACGAGCTGGAAAAATGTTTCTGGCACGCGTCGCTCACTTATTACAGTGACATTCAGATATCAAATAGATGGCAGTGGGAGCTGGCACTGAACTTCAGCGCTGCTTATTACTCTGCGCTGAGTGGGAAGCGCTGACCAGAGAGGGGGGCCACATCGTGATCATCCCATTCATTCAGAGAAAAGAAGCCAGGGCAACAGGCGGCGCGATCCTGGTGACGATTTTCAGAGCTGTACTTTTCTACCTGCGAACTCTTGGAAAATAATGCAGAGAGTGGATAAAATAAATAAGGAATGAACACTTTAAGATGGGCCTGTTTAAGATAGCAGACTAATAAAAAAAAAACCCAAACTGCACCCAACCTGACAATGCCCTTAATCATCACTTATAAAACAAACTGTTGCCTGTGTGTTCACAACAGTTAAAGGAGCAAACATTGCTCACAAACTGCCAGGCTGTCAGTGGTTACAGCTGGTCATTCAACTGGATAATCAAGGTTAACTGATATTAGCAAACATCCACCCAGCTCAAGTGTCCTTGAGAGAGAGAGACACTGAATCAGACACTGAATCTGAACCCTGTGTACCTGCCTATGACCTCTGAACCCCCCGCGAGACAGCCAAAGAGAAATTTCCTCCACAGCATTTACAACATTCACCCACTTTTTGCCAGGCAAAACTAAAGGGGGGAAGAAACAGCACGCAGTGAAGAGAGAATAGTCTCTTCATTATCAGCGGCAGTTGAAGCAAGACAAGCCCTCGCTGCCCGCTGCCTCTGACATCCACTACACCGAACCGCCTCAGATAAACTTTAGAAAGCAGCTCCGAAGGCTCTCGTGACACAAGAGCGCGGCAGCTGTAAGCGAGGCCTCCTTTCCCCTATGTCTCATCTTCCTTCCCAATATTATAGGCAATAATTACAGTGACTAAGCTCAGCGAGACAGGTGAAAGAGTCTCAGATGGCCGTAACGTTTATTTATATCATTTTCTGACTCAAGTTTGCATCTGGTATTTATGAATGTGGTGTTGACATAAAATAACAGCTGCATTTATTGCTCAAATTGTCCACGCAAAGCAAACTTAAAGAAATTCAAAAGCTGTTTAATACTAAACCTGTTAGACGCAGGCAAAAAAAAGAAAAAAAAAAAAGGGGGGGATTCTTATATCTGTTAAGTTTTACTTAGGCTGTGAGAATATCTGCATAAATCCCAGCACAGAAAACCAAACAACTTTGCACTGCAGCTACTCGCACTGTAGTAGTAGGAGGACTAGAGACGACTAACTGCTGTCTTGTCAGAGGTCAGGGCTTCCAAGTGGACCATTGCACCAAATCACATGATCATTTGCTTGAGAAAAGCTGTCTTGTAACGCATTCTGCCATTAACACTGATATGTAGCAGGTTAATACTTTGTAACCAAGGTGGTATTAAGACTTTGACCAATTCTAACTGCATCCATAACTGTGGGTAATCTGTGAACTAGCAGCAGATAACTTGTTGACATAGAAACTTGCAAAATATCCACGAGCGGATTACAAGTGTTTCACTGCAGGTGTGATCCCTCGTAGGCAGGTGCTGGTGAGGGGAACAATCGTTGCATGCATGAGGAAAGGAGTACAGCGAAAGAAGCCAGCACCAAAACCACAAATGCCAGCTGTTGGAGAAGGCAGACTCTCATCATGACAGATAACTTGGGTTAAGAGTTTTGGAGGGGGGCTGTGTGAAATGCACATCAGAGCCCACAGATCTGCTCAGTGGTGCATCAAAACCAAATGTCCTCTCCTGGCTACAACATTTTCACCAGTTTGACATACAAAAATCCTGCTTTAAAAACAAAGCTTCGATCCACACTTGACAGCCCTCACATTTAAGACTGGTGTTCTTATCTAGCCCTGCCACAGCAAAAGTACACAATACAAACTTAAACTGCCTGATACAATGTTGTCCTAGTGCAGCTTCCCAGCAGAGAGGCGCAGAGAGGGCAGGATCCTGCATGCTGACTCCATCTCTACATTTGTAAACACTTCCCACATGCTACCTGAGAGGACAAGAGCTGCATGCTCCCTGAGAGGACAAGAGCTGCATGCTCCGTGCCACTTACCGAAGGTAGTACTGTTTTAAAGCGAATGCAGCGTTGGAACAACTCCTCGGAAAGTTAAACTCCTCTCCAAGTTCAATCCATTGGTTTTTGTCAGATACCTGAAAAGAAGAAATGAGTTCGTTAAGAGATGAAAAACACCGGCGAACCACAAACAAAAAAGAGCGGTTACACCGACAGCAAGCCATCTGGTCTGCCACAGGTTCCCCCCGCAAAAAAAAAATGAGGCAACACATCATTAATCAATAACTTTTGGAAACTGCTCTAAAATATTTTAGGAGGAGGGAAGAAAAAAAAAAAACACCAGAGTGTTTAGTATAAAATTATTATTTTTATAAGTTTAGCCTCACATGTGTTTATTAGCCGTGCTTATTTACAATTGAGTACAATAGGTACAACTGCCTGACTCCCTTTAGGACATTATCGTTACTGTTCAGGCTAGTTAGCACTGTAGCTAACAAGCTAACTTGACTTTCCTCATTTTTGGCGTTAAAACCTAGCGGGGCTAAACTCCAGCAAACTGCCCCCGGCGGTAAACAAATGCTTTAGCTTGAGGCGACCCGTTTGAATTAGGAGTGGGCTTTTGGTAGCGTTTACTGTATGCACTGCATGGGCCTGTGAGGCCTACATTTTGTCATCAGCCATGAAGCCGAAGAAAGATGGCTATGGCGAGAAAGAAAATTCAGGCTTGCCCCCCCTCCCGGGTGAAAACTACCGGTAAAACCCCGGGCGAGACGCCGCGACCTAAGCGGTGTTTTCCGAGGCCGGGCTCCGAGCCGATAATCGATGTTAAACGTGCCCGCTAATTTTGAGTCGCTCCAACTGCACTCTGACTCGGAGCGGTTGTACTCTCAATTCAAACCACACACAACAACACAAGCCACCACATTACATAGAGATACATGGCAAACTAGCACAAGGCCAACACCGACCCACTAACGCTGTTCTGGAAGCTTACACTTGTCCCGTGTTACCCATACGGAGTTGTGGAGTGGTCCACCGGGAAGTCCACGGAAGGCAGAGTGTGGAGAAAATAACACTTTTAGTTCGCACTCACCTTAGCAAAGCCACCTAAAGAGACGACTCTGATATAGAGAGCATTCAGATCCAGCTCTTTCCCACCCACGATAGGAATCTTCTTGAACGGCGATCTGTTGGGAAAACACAATAAATAAATCCACATTTGTTTAAATAACACTTCTGGCAAACTCGCCGCTGCATGCAATGGTGATTTAAAGTTATATTTCTTGGAAATAAAGACGCCCCAATCTCACCCTCTGCTTTGGTGAAATTGCCGCAGCTCGTCCAGGAAAGCCTGTCCTTTCCTTCGCTGATCTAGTAGATTTTTCCCCGTCGAATTTGCCATTGTTTTTGCATGCAAAAACGGTTATACCCCACTTCAGTCGCTTCTTAAGACACCAAGGATCCCATACTCCGCCGGCGCTCAGTCATTCGCCAAGCTGAGTGTTTAAAAAAGTTAAAGAAATAGCTGATAGCAAGAAGAGCGGCAGCTCGCTAATAAAGACTGATGCACACAGAAAGCAAGCCCGATTCAAGCCCGTACTAAGTTCCAGCGAACAGTCGCAAATACGACCGATTTACCGGCAGGTTAGAAACGCCATGGCAGAAGGTGTTGAATTAATGCTTTTGGTCGCGGTTGTATTCGTTTGGAGTGGTTTGACAGTGTGTTACGGACGCAGCTCCGAGGCTATCGCACACACTGTAGAGCGGCAGAGGGATCCAGTTCTCAGACAAAAAGATGTGAAGGCCGCGGAGGCCGGCCTACCATGCGTGCAGCGACCTCTATGCCCGAAAGAGGAACTGCACCGTCCAGAACCGAGCGACCGCTGGAACAATAGAGACTGTTTTCTTTTTTAGGGACCGTCTGCCCTCTTCCCTCCGTGTGGAAAACGGGTCAGGAGATACTTGGAAATGTCCCGTGGGGGAGGGGATAATACTAATTAATTGAGCACCCTTATTTTACCAATAAAATACGAGAACATATTAATCGCTGAATATTTTTATAAAAACAAATGCGGTAAAATTATTTCAAAATAGCCTTTACAGAAACTCTTTATAAACTGACAAGATATTTTTATTATGCTTTTCTACAGTAGAATAAGAAGTAAAGATACACTGTTCATCTCCTTCAGAAATGAATGAATATAGCGATCAAAATATCAGTAAATTAATAGTCTTTATATATGTTTTTTTAAATCCTGTAAACAATTTCCATTTTAATGGTGATATTACCTAAATGTTTACATTGCACAGTATCCTGGTGCAGAGATCAGGGAAATCTTATATGTTCACAGTGACTGTGTAGCATTTATGGTGGTGCAAAATTTCCCTGCACACTGTAATTGCTAACTTTAAAGTTAAGGTTTTTGGTAGTTTGCATATGTTCAATACAGTCTTCAAGTGTGTTTTTTTTTTCCTGCCATACTGCTTTCTTTTTTCTCTTTCTTTTTCTGGTAAGCTGCCACTATCCCTTGCTGACCACTTCAAAACGACTTTATCTCACGGGATGGTTGGAAATTACTCCTGATCCCTTTTTCCTGCAACTGCCAAGCGGATATCTTCTTGATGGGGTTACATTCAACCATTACACGTACCCCTTTGCTCAATGAAAAACCTGTCACAAAATGGCGGAGACGTACGTTAGCAGACCCCATTTTGAGGAATTGACACTAGACAGTGGAAAAGTGCATGTCCCTGTGCGTGGTTTTCGAAATTGGGCTCTTTTTTGCAAACAATGTGCGGCGCAGCGGAGCTTACCTCGCGCCTGTTTGGACTCCCCACCCGTCAACCGAATTCTGGGCTAACGTGTCGGTTAGGCGCTAGCCCGTTAGCTTTAGCGAGCGTTAGCAAAATTCGTCACTAATCTTTTCTGAGGGAATCGCGCAAAGCCAGCTACTCTGTCATATTTTACGCCGACGTGAAATCTGGTTCTACTCTTTTTCGCTGCTACTTGATAATAAGCGCTTTTTCTGGAAAGAAATTGTTGCCTCCGTGAACTCTTTTGACGGTAGCGGTGCCTGCTTCCTACTTTAGCCTGTCAGATTCCAATCCCCTGTAATCACTGCTAACAAAGTTACCTCTCCGTATGCCAGCTGCTTACATAGAAGCTCACAAGCAGGCAACAAGGATGCATATTTTCCCTACATTCATCAACCGCTAAAACCCTTTTATTACTCTCAAGAGATTTGAGGAAAGGCTAACACTGTTAAGGGCGTGCTAAGTTTTGTAGCTAACAGGCTAGCCGTGGTGCGTGCGTGCGATCACAGAGCAGTTGTAGCTAAGCCAAACGGCATTTAAAACTTAATTTTAACAGTCGAAAATTGTCAGTAAAATGTTTTTTATTATATTTGGGGTTTGGGGGTTAATGCTACCACCACCGACCGGTTTTGCCGAGATAGCAAATGTAAATGCAGAGCGAAATGGTCGTTTATTACGCGTTGTCAGTAAAATGGATCTCTGCTAACATTTAGGGCAGAAACGTTCGCAAATGCTGTGACAGTTTACTGTCAAACACCAAAATGTTTATTCTGTGCATTTGAGTGTCATAAGTAAACGAAAACCAGCGGAATTGATTATCAACTAATAAAGAGTGGAATTGTTGGATATTGCGTATAAATTTTAGAACTATTCTTTTAGAATAGTTAAGATTTTAACAGAGCCGGCGTTAGTGGCTTTATTCTTATAGTGAAGTACTTTTGAGGAATTTTTTTTGGACTAAACAAGTGAATAAATACTACTTCTAAAGATTAGCTGTTTGTTCTACTAAATCCTTTGCCTGTTGTATGATAAATCACAGGAACCTTGAAATACTTGCATGGTTCAAGAAAGTCAATCACCTTATACTTGTTTATAAGTAGAAAAGTTTTATCAGCTAATCTCCAGCTCATTTCCTTCCTCCCACAATCATAAATGTACCAACTAAGGTGAAAGAAAAATACTACAAATCACATATATATTACTATCACATATATATTATTAATTAATATCCCTAAAGCGCACATTGGGGAACAACATAGCTCTGTCTTTCCTCCATTTATTATAATACATTAATGAAGCGATGAATAGTGTGCTGTGGCTGCATTTGAAAGCTCCACAATCAGTTATGCCATCACTACAGAGGTCCTCATGTGATGTGACAGTCAGGCCTCTCATGACATATGGCGCAAATAGAGGCAGTTAGCCCAAGCTGCCTGCAAGCACGCAGACAAAAGATCCCAGTGGGATGCTAACCGCATGTAACGTCCTTACACTTCCCTCCACCCTGTGGCCTCTGCCGGAGCTCTTATCGCACAGGAGTCATAGTGTTGAGGAGCCGTTTGGTGGAAAAGGGCTCCATCTTCTGGTAGACAGGCATTGTGTGGAGGGGTAGTGAAGAGTCCCCTCATTGCCTTAGGAACATAATGAGGGATCAGTTGAGAGATTTTAAACTGGATACAGTGCTACAGTTGGAGCAGGATGCATGCTGGGAGATTAAGGGAGGGAGCTGCATGGGGTGAAGACTGATCCTAATGCAGATGGAAATAGTGTAATTTGAAAAGTTGGTTGTAGAATGAAAATAAGTACTTTAATTTTGGTTATTGATCAGGTTGCGTATTTGTGTTAGTATGTGAATCAGTGAGACAACAGGTCTGTCTGTTTACTGTGAACATGACTTCAAAAATCCCTCCAAGATGGAAATAAAAGGACGTTGGAGTCGGATGATTCTCTGCAACACTAATACATTGTATCATAGTTGGTGATAATATGTAACATTAAAGTGTTTCCATATCTGTTTCGTGGCAGCAGACCTGAGTCAGTGACCCACTGCCTGTCAAGTAAGTGGTGCAGGAGGCGGTCAGGATTAGTCATGGCAATTTTATTTATATAGCACATTTCATTACGTGCCAGCTCAGTGTGCTTAACAGATAAAAGCCTATATAGATCTAATATACCTTAAAGCAATAAAAACAACAATAAAACCTTGCCAAGAACCCTGGGAAGAGTTGAAAGATGTGCAGCTGATGACCTGAGAGGTTTGACTGGGTTATAGACAGCAAGTCAGAGATCTACTGTGGTGCAAACCACTGAGAGGTTTATGAAGTAACACAGGGATTTTTAAAGGAAATTCTGTATTCATGAAGTGATGTTGATGTGTTTAAAGTTCTGTACATTCTGAACAAGCTGGTGTCGTTCTACTGATGGATGTATGTGACGAATGACTGTTCAGGGACCTCCTCTCATGATTCAAAAAGCATTTCAGAGTTGCTCTGTTGGAGTCACCATCTCTGATGATGCTCCGCCAGCAGATGGAGAAACTGAAAAACTGAAGCTCAGTAAAGAGAAAAAAACTTGGACTAGAACAATAAGCTAAACTCTCCTCCCCAAGCTGCCAAGGAGGAAAGATGTTATTAACATGACTCTTCTCTACAGATACAATAGTTTGGTATTTTACTTTGGTAAAATAAAACATAAAATTCAATGTTTTCATGCTGTTAATTTTTTGGGTGATGCAGTATCAAATATGTATATTTTTTTAAGATGCACTAATTAGTTGATATTATCATTAATATATATATTTATTATAAAAAATATAATAATGTGAATAAAACTTATTTTAAAAAGGTTCTGACATATTTGTGTCACAGCTAAGGGCGGGTCAGTGCCACCCCAAGGCCCCCTTCAGACACCCTGCTCTGTATCACCCACACTCCACCATTGCTGTAGATCACTCTACAAATGTAATAAAATCCCAATGTTGTCGATACTTAATGATTTTCGCATTACAAGGATCATTCCAACTTACAAAACAGTTAGAGCTTTCATCAAATCATATTACAAATTATAAATCATAATTCAAATGAATTAAAAACCGGGATTTGGACCCAGCCGTCCAAAAACATGGCCCTTCTTTTTTAACCATTTTGCTGTTGTCTAACTTGTGCCCTTTGGGTCACTGCCTCTCTTTGCAAGATAACGTGGTGGTTCAGTGGTTGCACTGCTGGTTTTACAGGAAAGTGTCCCAGGTCATGGTCTGCACTTGTTAGGTTGAGTTAGGCAGGCATAGTTCCTCCTGTGGGCGGAGCCTCGTCTTCCCGCTCTTAGGCCACCACACCTGTTGCTCACCTGCCGCCTCATTTAACTGAATTTTTGAACCAGCCTCTGGATCCAGCCTCTGCCTGGATAGTCTGTGTGGTAATTGGACTCCTCGAGTGTTCCTGACATTAATGTCTTTGTTTCCTTGCAATCCAGAGCTCTCTGTGTGGCTGAGGAGCGGCCTTCTCGCTGGATCTACTCTCTTGCTGAAGCCAAGCTGGTTCATTCCGTCTGAAATCTCCCATTAGTTCACTCACTGCCTTCATCCACCTACCTGCCCACCCTCCTGTCTCCTCCACTACCACCCTCAAGCAAACTTGTGCCGCTTACAGGGGTCTAAGCTTATTTTAGATTGTTAACAATCTAAAATAAGCTGTTCCTTACACATCTAATCTTTAAAAGGATCGGCGATTGTCACAACAGGTTACGATGGGGGAGATCTTAAAGGCGTGGTAGAATTGCTATGACTGCTTTTAAAGTTGCTCTTTTAGTGATATGTTATTGCACATGACGCACATGTTAGTGTTCACTTATCTGTACTGAATATCAGTTGTGTTTTCTTATTATTGTATGTTGCAACCTCTGCTCCCCTTTAGACCAAGTGTCTCTTAAAAAATACATTTTAATGTCAAGGAAGCTTTTATGTGGACAAATGAAGTATAATTACCCCAAAAGCAAATTTAAAAAGATGAGACTGGAAGTGCTTTGTAAAAAGAAATCACTGAATCCACAGATCTCAGCCTTAGAAGGAGAAAGTGCCAGAGTCCGGCACACAGTGTTGCAAAATCTGTGTCCCCTTTGGTGCTTGTCTAAAGAGTCAAAACCTGAATCTTAATCCTGAATTTTCTGTCTTGGCTTTTTCATCTGATTTCACGAGAAATGTTGAGGCAGTCCTAAAATAACACTTGTGCATTTGGACACAAAACTTAGCCCAGACTGGGAACCTCTCACCCAATGGCAGACAGGCTAGCTGATGGGGATAAGCTCACTAACCCCGAATTGTATAAGTGATGGACATTAAATGTAATTTCTTCCATTAAACTTTACCATCAGAAAGTGAAAGCAGACATAAAGTGAATAAGAATGCAATTTGCAGAAAGAATAAAGTGCAGTAATAAAGTTTTAAAAGGTTCAAGGTAGAATCTAGTGTTTTGTGCAATTATAAAATGTCACGCCTCTTTAAGTGAATTTCTTACTCTAGAAGCACAAACTAAAAGGAAAAAGCAGCACAAAAATGATGCTCCCTCCACCATGCTCTCCTCACAAATGTTCTTTGGTCTCTTTTTGTCCTCTTTTTCAGAGAGATTAGCAGCAGACAGTAGGATTCGTAGACAGGCTCTGTTATTAGGACTGCTGAACACTCACTTTCTGTATTTTCTGTAGTCTTTTCCACTTTTGCAGGGACTCGTCGATGGTCCTGTGAAAGTTTTTGCAATCCACATATGATCCACCCCAGCCGTTCTTTCTAGAAAAGAGCAAACTTTGTCAGTAAACAGACTTTTTTTTTTTTTTAAAAGTGGGATGATCTCTACAAACCACAGTTTTTTTAATTATTGGATCACTGGACTCTCAGTAGATTATGGAGGAGCTGTTTTTTCGGAATTCAGATACCT